ACACACACACACACACACACACACACACACACACACACACACACACACACACACACACAGAATTAGCAAATACTATCAGTTGCTCATAAGGAAAGCTTGGAGCCATACACCTGAGGCCACTGGTTGTATTTTGTCAGCTGGTCACCATATAACCTTTTAAATGCATGCTTCCATTTAAACATACTTTATTTAACATGCCCTTGAGTTCTTAACATTGAGTTCATGGCCAATGCCTCTATAATAAAGCCTCTCTAACATATCTATTTTCTATGTAAGATGTATCCTAGCCTTTTTGTACCCGGGAACACCAGACATCACTTAAGCACCATTTTGGGGCTCTATAAACAAGACATGACCTTACTAGACTTTGAAAGCATACATAGCAGGATAGTGGAGCCCACACTGTCTGCTACCACAGAAGCCAGTGAGCCGAGACAGGAGCAGAACCTATCGACTGTGCTCTATCCAGAGCACCAGCACCCGAGAAGCCAGAGAGAGAGAGAGATCTGCTTGGTTCACCCCAGTTAGCATAAGTTTTTTTTGAGACAGGGTTTCTCTGTGTAGCCCTGTCTGTCCTGGAACTTGCTCTGTAGACCAGGCTGACCTTGAACTTACAGAGATCTGTCTGTCTCTAACTCCCAAGTGCTGGGGTTAAATGTGTGTGCCTCCACCACCTGGCTTAGTTAGCATAATTTTATAGTGAACCAGGACAGAGGCTTGTGAATAGTTCCCATGCCCCTCTTGTCAGGTGGTCAGCTTGGTCTCTGAGATCCTAAGTGTTGGTGGATTTCTCCTTGTCTCCTCCTGCACTTTTCATGTGTAGCTAGAGGATGGGGATTGGGAAGCCGAGTGAAGAAGGGGCTGTCTTGGTGAATGAGTCTTCTATTTCTCCTGAGCCGCCATTTAGATCACACCCAGGCTAAAGGTTAGCTCAGAACAAAAAGGCTGTTAGCGGTGTGTATGTGAAGGTCTTTTACAGTATGAAGTTCAGCTGGGACTCTTGCACTGTGGAATGGAAATGCCCCTCCTGTCCTGCACCAAATACTTGTTTACAGCTGAAATAAAAAGGCAGAGTCTTAGCTTGTTCAACCTCTGCTGGAAACATGTGCATTGGATCAGTCAAAAGTCACTGTTTTGTGTGTCTAAACAAGCATCATGAGTACTGATTTGGGGGTTACAAATAAATTTTAGTTTGTAAACAAATTCACAAACATGCAATCCCACAATAACAAGATTATGCATATACATATATGTCATAACTCATGAGGATATACATACTTAATATCTTCAACTGAATGTAGAAAAGGGAGTTTGTGTTAAAATAAATATTAATTAAAATGCATCACGGAAAAAATTTTTTGGAGAAATACTTATTTACAAGAACTGGATATTATTCTTTCAATGTCTTCTGGATAGAGTCGGATAGCTATCTACAAGGAAGCCCCATGTACAAACCACACTTTGTCTCTTGATCTTATGCCTATACTATAAGGCTTCCAGAATGGGGATTCAACCCCTTTTTAATGAGCAAGCAAAGAAATCTAGGGACTTAAAGAAGGTTTGATATATTCTAGAACCTGGCATCAAGGTGTGCCAGGTCCTTTGGACCGAGATATAGGCAGTCACTGGATGCTGCTCATTGGCCCAGAGTTAAAAATCCTGGGACAAGGCTTTTGCTCTTACAAGAATTAACTGTGAACCCTTTATAGGTCATTTCTTTCTTTGGAATTTGATCTACCAAAGAAAGAAGTTGAATTTTGTCCTCAAGACATTTCCTGGTCTAGTGTCCTATTGGTGTGTGTGTGTGTGTGTGTGTGTGTGTGTGTGTGTGTGTGTGTGTGTGTGAGAGAGAGAGAGAGAGAGAGAGAGAGAGAGAGAGAGAGAGAGAGTTCTTGAGGCCAAGGGAGTATATGGTTGGATGCAGAGGATGTGTTTTGGAGCCACCATTTTTGAGTAGAAACAGAACTTGTGTCAAGATTTCTAATTACCTCCCACATGTCACATTCTTCCTTGTGAAGTCTGAAATTGTTTGTCATGCCTGAGGGCCTGAAGCATTTTTTGATTTCTCCAATTTTAGAAGTAACTTATTTTAAATGTTGGATGCTTAACAAAAACCTGTAACAGCTTCATTGTATAACCATCTTTTCTCTTATTGTGGCCAAGAAAATGGATCTGCTTTACTAAATGTGATTAACTTTTCAATGTGAAATAGTAGGTATAAGTGTATACTTATCTTAACATGTTAAAAAGTATCTTAAGCTTGCCTTTAGTTAGTGTTGAGAAGAGTGAACACAAATGCAATTGACTTAGTACCTTAGTTCTAACTGGAGGCATAAATATTCTGTGTGCGAAAGAAGCCTGCACTTTAAAAATCATTAATAAACAAGGGAACGTGTAGGGTAATGGTTCCCTGCTAATTTACACTCAAGAACACACTCCTGAGAGAACACAGATGTGAGGCCAGTTGCTAGTATGAGATGGACAAGTTCTAAGAAGGCCTTCGGAAATTCTCTTTCATTTCAGGCTTGAGTTGCTTAGACAACTATTACTTCATTTACATCGAAACATATAAAACATTAGCATAAAACATTAGCAAGGAACCCTTTGAACGCTGTGATTATAATTCTCTATATTAACTATCCCATATGATAACTGCATACACTTTATTCACTGGAATATCACATATACACATTGATATTTACAGAAGTGTTTTTTCGGGTAAATATAAATGAAAGGAGGACAGTATGTCTGAATGTAAGAAGGAGGTGAAGTCTGTTGACACACTCAAAGGATACAGGGTCTACTGGAGAGATTGGAGGGTTATCATGGAAGCGTGACATGCCTATGCCCTTGACAGAATAGCAGTCCTCCCGTGTTGAGGAGGGTCTTCTTGGTAACTGAGTGTGCAGTTAAGGGAGGGATGCATATGGGGCTATGAAGGAGGAAGGAGACACCTAGCCAGGCAGGTCAGCCTAACCAACCCTACCACTGAGTAGATGACATAATAATACAAATGAATTCAGTCCTGGGGTTCACCAATGCTGTGCTGGGAAGACTGCTCATGCTTCTAAGACCACAGGGAGGCTGAGAGTATGGGTATTGACTGCATCCTCTTGATTGCAGTCTGGGACAGGGTGACCTCTATGCCCCACTAGAGATATGCTACTTCAAAATGAGTTCAGTAGTCTCCAGTCCAAAGAACAGGGATGAAAATGTGGAGTTGTTCCTCTATTAAAAAAAAAAAAAACATGGTGAATGCCATTTTCAAACTCCCCCTAATGAGCTCTTCAGTATCATATTCTTAACAAGGGTAGAGCTGAAAACTATACGCACCATGACTTCAATGGGCTTTCCTACTGATCTGTTTTCATTATTCCCATTTCATTAAAGTGGAGACACACAGAGATGAGTCCTGGAGGTAGGACAGTCACACAGATCTTTGGATCTCAAGCAGAGCTCCTTTTATAAGTCAGAACACATTCTAGAAAATCGTCCAGATTGTAGCAAATGGACACAGATTATATTCATTGCTGCTGGCAACCTCTGCCTCTTTCTGTGTCTTCTTCCTTCAGGGCCCCAGAGCCTTGAAATACTTGGCATTGAAGTATCAGGAACTGGATGCATTTCTTGTCTTGGGATTTCCCATCTTCACCCTACAGGCTGATGAGATTTGACACATCAGTGGTAAAGACATTTTCCCTTTTTGAAATAACACCATTGTAGGTTAAGTACAGAATACCAAGGAGATAACTGGAGCTGGGTGGGGAAGGTAAATGTGCTGTATGGACTCTCTTCCTATGAGACCGTGAACTTGACACTGATGGAGTCATCCTTACATTTCTGCCGTATCTAAGTGCTTTATTCTATTGCCTTTTGGCAGTTCTGTGCAGATGAGATATAGAATGGGAGAATATGGAGCGTGACTCTGGCTAATCATTATGACCTCTTTCTAATGATCTAGATGGAAGGATAGATAGATAAGTAGATATATAGAGCTTGATAGCGCCAAATAGATTCTACCATTTATTTGGAGCTGGAGAGGGACTTTCCGCACATAGCAGGTAATCAGCAAATGTAGGTCCTTCGAATGATCTCTTGGTGTGGTTTGCAGACAGAAGGCATTCAGTCACGTCGCTTGCTGCCATTTGTGTCTAGCCTCTTAAGGTGTTACACAGATAGCAGTTGTGCTGTATCTTAGGACATAGAAGCATCCAGACACATTTGGGCAGAAGAGCATGAATACAGCTGTCTTTTCCCAAGTAGCTTGTGAGTGGTTGATGGCGTTTGATATGCTGAGTATCGAATATGTTTTCCCTTGGGCATCACCAGCAGGCTACTTCAGCCTGATACAATCCACCTCCTCCGTGGCAGGCACCCCACTGGTTTTGAGGTCAAGGTCAGCGCTGGACTTGCTGCCGTAGCGAGAAGGCCGCCAGTGCAGCCGCAGCATCTTCTTAAAGTACTTCATGGTGTTGTTCTTGACCGTCACGAAACACACGGTGTTGATCATGCTGTTGCTCATGGCGATGCACTCAACAACATAGAAGGCGGTGAGGTAGTGCTTCTCCTTCACAAACACGTTAGGGAAGAAGTCTCGCACGATGCTAAAGCCGTAGAAAGGCGCCCAGCACAGCACGTAGGCCGTGAGGATGCCCATGAGCAGCAGCACTGTCTTGCGGCGGCAGCGCAGCCGCTTGCGGATCTGCTCCGTCTGGAAGCCAGGTACGGCCTTGAACCAGAGCTCCTGGGAGATCCTGGCATAGCACAGGGTCATGGTGACAACCGGGCCCACGAACTCGAGGCCGAAGACGAAGAGGAAGTAGGATTTGTAGTAGAGCTGCTGGTCCACTGGCCAGATCTGGCCACAGAAGATCTTTTCCTGATTCTTGACGATGACGAGGATGGTTTCGGTGGTGAAGTAGGCAGATGGGATGGCGATGAGGATGGAGACCATCCAGACCAAAGCGATCAGGAAGGAGGCGGTCTGATAATTCATCCGTGGTTTCAAGGGGTGGACAATGGCGAGGTATCTGGAGGGAGAGGGAAGCCAGCAATGGTGATTAAATTTGGAAGCACGATTTTTTTTTTTTAAACCAGCCCAGAGCATACACAAAAGCCTGGGAGCAGCACAATGAATCCCCAGGCACCCACTACCTGGGTTTAAGCAGTACTAGCTCATTAACAGCCCCACTTGGCATTTAGAGTAGAGATTTAATAGAAAGAGCAGACAGGTGAAATCAATGTGGCTTTTCTCCCTTGATTGGTATAGGGATCTGGGAATTACCCTTTCTCTCTGAGATCTGTTTGTCTGAATACAACCTGAGACAAATGGTACTTACCTTGAGGATGTTTGTGAACATTAAATATGATAAGGATGTACTTGCGTATCTTTCAGTAGATACATGTGCTCATCTGTTCACAGGACTATTATACCCTTTGAGTTTTCAGTCTTGCTGCCCTGCCCATGAACAAGGTATTCTTACAGTTCTTATCCCAAATACCCCACAATCTAAGGTGAAAGCAGAGCTGTGCACCTCAGAGCGAGGTGTGGACACAGCTCGGGCTTCCTCCTCCTCCTGCTAGATGTCAGCCTGCATCATGGAGGCAGTGGGATTAAGGACTTTGGTGAGAAATAAGCATGATACCCAGGTTCCTGGCTGGCAGATTCCAGACCCCAGCCTCCTGATATAGTACTTTCACGCCCGCCTCCCCACGCCACTTCACAGTCAAGAGAAAGTGCCTAATGAAGACACTTCACTGTGGCTCCTTAAAGCATTACCCTTGTTCTTTTCAGTGAGTCACACTGCTCAAGAAACACCACCAGCCTTTTTCCTTCGTGGAAAACAGGCTTACCTGTGTGGGTTGCCTGTCTCTCTTCCAGAGAGATGGAATGATAGCTATTTAGATATTTGGGTACTGGAATAATTTCTGTGCATTATGTGGGTGGGGGCAGGAAGGGTGGTAGGGGGAGGTAGAGGAAGAGAAGAGGTCTGAGAGGTAGGTAAAAGACAAATTATCCTGGAAACGAGTGTGTGGGCCAAGAGCTGGAAGCCACCCGTAGACAGTTCTGTCTGACTAACCAGACCCTTCGATCACCTTTCCAACCCCCTGACTTGACTTAGAAGTCCCTCTGCCATGTTGCTACTTTCTGTCCCTTGCGGTATTTTGGCCATTTTGTCCCATCTGTCCCTGCTTGCTGGTGGCTCTCCAGCCAATTCCATATTTGACACTTCCAAACACTGAGGAGAAAGCTGGACCCATCCCAACCACAAGGGGTAGATGGGATGAGTGGGGTGGTGGGTGGGGTCCCGGTTGGGTGTTACCATAGCAACTGCTGGAGCTCTCCACCCATCTGTGTGACCAGGCTAGGAGGACAAGCATCACAGGACAGTGCTGGAGAGGCAAACAGGCACCGGCCACTTAATTGGGGCAGGAATATCTCACAGTCACTGTCTCTCTGTGCCAGCTGGATGAATGCTTCCTGTCACCTTTATAATCAAAGTGACACTTGAAATGGAATACATTGTGATAGTGCAGTTTTGGAGGTCAGAAGTCTGATGTGTTTTTTCCTGGGTAATCTTGAAGGGAGCCAGCAGATGGCATTCCTTTTAGGGGCTCTCAGGAAAGAACGTGTGTGTGTGTGTGTGTGTGTGTGTGTGTGTGTGTGTGTGTGTGTGTGTGTGTGTTTATGTTTTGCTGTTGTTTGCATTTCTAACTTTTCAAGAGCTGCCTATATTTCTTGGTTTTTAACCCTCTTTTTCTTCAAAGCCAGCAATGGCCAGTGGAATATTTTTCATGTAGTAACATTCTGCCCATCTCCTTCAGGTAAGAATCTTTGCCATCTATTAGCTCCACCCAAATTACCAAATTACCCAGTATAATCTCTATTTTAAGATCAGCAACCTTAGTTCCATAAGTTACCTTGATCCTTCATAGGGTACCATTTAGCATAGTCCTAGGTTTGGGGCATTTGGATGTAGTTATCTTTGTTGAGCATTTAGTATTCTGTGTACTGTACTGATCTTTAGATACTGTAAAACAAATTCAGGACTCAATAGAGCTCTCAGTCTGGTCCTATCACCACTCACAGTATACCAATAACTAATGCAAAGAAAGCTTTCATATTCCTGCTAATTTTGTTGTCAATTTTTTTAAGACAATTTAATATAGTCCTGGGTGGCCTGGAACTTAATTGTAGATAAGCTAGCCTAAAACACATACACACACAAACACACACACACACACACACACACACACACACACACACACACACACACACACACACACACACACACCCCAGCACACACCAGATTTATAGCCTGATTGATAGCCGGCCTCTTAAAGGTGTGTGCCATGAGGCCTGGCTATTTTTTTTTTCTTTTGTGGAGATAGGTTTGTCTCTGTGTAGCCCTGGCTGTTCTGACACTCTCTGTAGACCAGGCTGACTTCAAACTCACAGAGGTCCACCTGCCTCTTCTTCCCAAGTGCTGGGATTAAAGGTGTGCACCACCACCACCCTGTGGACCCAGCTATTGTTAACTCTTACACTCAAATACTTTGTCATCCGATTCATCTTCCTTATTCTGAAGGACATTCCAAAATTCATTGCTAACATCAAGTAAATCAGACAGAAAAAAGCATTGACTTAGGGCGTTAATTAGGAGGCCAGTTCCCAAGCTGTGCACTTGGATAAATAACTTATGCTCCTAAGACTTAGTCTCTGCATCTGTGAAGTGGGGATAATAAGGACTTAACTGACAGTCTATCAGGGGTTTTGTCAGCTTCCAAGAAAGCAAACATTCATAATGTATGATGGAGTTATGGTACATTGCTTATGCTGATTATTTTCCCTGACTCATTTGTTGGCAAGAGAGACATCTGCAAGGTCTCTGTTGCCAACTATCTGCTTGAACGTGTGTGTGTGTGTGTGTGTGTGTGTGTGTGTGTGTGTGTGTGTGTGTGTGTGTATACAAATGCTTTTGAGGTCAATGGATTCCTTTAATTCTCTACAACTAGAAAAGCATCCCCTCTTTATGAGCGTAGTCTCTGGGCTCAACTTCCAAAGACAGCCTGCGGTGGCCCTGCTGCTGTCTACCGAGCAGAGCAGGCATGTTTGGACAGACACTGGACAGAAGCGCACAGGGAGGCTGTGCTTCTGCAAGGAGCCCAGCTGAGCATGGGCCGGTGCGTCAGCCCCACTCTGTTGCTGTTTCCTGTTGTCTATAATAAATGCCCTTGCTTGAAATGACATGCACTGTGATCATGCACAGTTGTCACTGGGTAAGCTCGGGGGCTGGCGGGTGACATTTGTTTTGGGGGGCTCTTAGGAGAGAATCTATGTGGGAGGAGGGCAGAGGCTCACGAGTCTCTCCCAACTCACAACAAACTTACATTGTTTCTCCATCAGATGTGAATAAAAATACCATCCCAGGAAAAACTACCACCATGGCCCCAGTAAAAAGACGATTGAAATCAGCACTTTAAGAGAAAGGGCGTCTGATGCAACTTTCTGATCAGTTAGAGCCTGGTGATGGGAGAAGGGTGCTATTTATCAGGAATCTCTATCCTAGGGCCTAAGGTCCCATGTGCTGTCTTGACCCCTTGAGCCTTACAGAGCTCCCACCACCTACCCATGACCTCCTCTGTGCTTGTCAGATGTTCTCCTGCCCATGAAGCTTCCTTTCCATCCAGCTGCTCTACCAGCCGAGGCAGGTCTAAACTTCGTGAGGGAGCTAAGTCTAGATTTAGGGGTGTATATCTGTTATGTCTGTTATCCCAGTGCCTCAGTTCAAAATCATTCTGGACTACATACATGAGGTGCCTGCCTCGCTTGAAAAATGAGCATTTATAAATCAGCATATCTTTATTATTCTTAATGTTTGATAATTCCTAGTTTTTAAAATTAAAAAAAAAAATCTTGTGTTAAACAGCCGTATCTTCTATTGCTTGCTCTTCCATGTACTTAGCCTGGGAACAGTAGACCCCAAATTTCTTGTGGTCATGGCAGATGCCGCCAGTACCTCCTCCATATGCCTCTGCTCTTATCCCTTCAGTATATACTCACCTACAGCCCTCCACCTTTACCATTTCAGAGCATACGTTCTCATACCCTATATTCTTACCACTTTGGTATACACTCCCTCATTCCTCTCTGCTTTGCCATTTCAGCATACGTGTGTGCATTCCAGCATGCCCACACCTGCCTTTTTGTCTGTCTGTCTGAGTGGCCTGCAGAGTCCTCTTGGCTGCCTGTGCAGTATTTTCAGAGATGCAATAACTTGAAAGAGCCGTGTATAAACACCCCAGCTCCCTCCTCCTGCTCCTTGGAAAACTCTGGGAATCCCTCATGGAAACTTTGGTAATGTATCTGCTGCCCTCATTTCTCATTCCCTCTTGGTGCCTTCTAGTTCATCTGCATGAGGATCCCTGCGTCAGAGGGTTTGGGGGAATAACACAAACTAAGATATAGGTGTCTCAGTTGGAGACAGAAAGACCGAAGACATGATGATTGCTCTTAAAATACATCTTTGGGGAAGGATATCTATATTTCCATACACAATATGAATTGGAAGGTCAGCCTGGCATAGTCCACAATGTGAGACTCAGGATTTATATCCTGTGACTGTTGTGAGATATTTGTACACTGTGTGAAGATATTGCTGTGATTGGTTTAATAAAGAGCTGAAGGGCCAATAGCTAGGCAGGAGGTATAGGCAGGACTTCCGGGCAGAGAGAGGAAGTAAAAGGAGAAAACAGATGCAGAGGAGATGCCAACAAGATGGGGGTGGGGTGGGAATTGGACATATAGATAGAAAGAAAGGTAAAAAGATGCAAGGCAAAAATGTAGATTAATATAAAGGGGTTAATTTAAGTTATAAGAGCTAGTGTGACAAGCCTAAGCTAAGGCTGAGCATTCCTAATTAATAAGTCTCCATGTCATTATTTGGGAGCTGGTGGCCCCAAGAAAAATCTGACTACACTGTGACACTGGGATTTCTTGAGATTCCATAAGCAAAGGAATATCTTAGGAAGAGCCCGCAACAGTGATGCTCAGATGCTTCCTTCCTATGGATGGATATGGATTTTAGGGAGCAGTCAGAAGCTGCTGGGGAACAAGGGACAGGTCAGCAGAGCACCAGAGTGTCCATCGTGACTTGCCAAGTGGTAAAGCTGGGGGACACACACACTGGACTTAGAGCTGCACGTAAGTGTGGGGTCAGCGGGTGAGGGACAGGAAGACAGGCAGGGGATGACAGTCCCTTCCCTGCTTGGGTCACTGGGAGTGGGGGCCCGGCTGGTGGAGTGTGGAAGCTGTGTGGGGAAGGGTTTTCTGGGGTGAAAGGGGAGCTCTGCTGTCTGTGCCCAGCGACTGCTTCCTAAGCAGTTCTAGCTGCACAGACCGTAAGATAAAGTAGAACTGACGTCACCCACACCAAGCTCACGAGAGGACGAGGGGTGAAGACACCCACTGCTCTCACTTCAGCAAACCTTAGAGTCACTCAGGAAAGCGAAGAAAAGTGCAGATTTGCAACTCCCAGCTCAAGGGATGCCCATTCAGGAGACTTGGGTGGGTGGGGCTCAGGAACTAGACTCAATCTCTGTAGCAAGTGACAGTCCGGTGATTTTTCCCAAGGAATCTTGTGCAGCTGGCCGGTGAGCATGCATTTCATAAGCTGGTTTCTGGACTACAGAGCCTCAGAGCTGTGTTTAATAAAGGTGCTTTCCCACGGGTATCTTGCTATAAAGGAAGAAGCGTCTTGTTCCTGTGTCTGTTGTTAGTAGAACTGAGAAATAACTAACTGGGATATTAAAAAGCACTGAACAGCACTCAGAACAAGGGAGAAACTCGAGAGCTGAAGGAGACGAAAGGGGAGGTCACGACGCACATCATCAGAATGCATTTCAGAACAGCTCAAAAGAGTGAACTCATCAAGGTCCCCACCCCCCACCCTGCCGCCAGTGACAATGCTGACCTGAAACATGCAAGAGTCCTCATGGGCTGCTATTACAAATCTTACCTATAAATTTACAGCAGAGCAAGGACTTCTGGAAGGTCTCATGCAAATATATGTAAATAAGCATGCAGATACACGCAAAACAGCAAAAGCAAACATGTCCTTCCCTCTTTCCTGTAAGCAAATTCTGCTGTCTTATTTTCAAGTCAGCTCTGCAAGAAGTCACCAGAAGGCATGCTACATGCTTCATGGTTCTGATGAAGCGATTAAAGAACAGACAGATCTGAACTGTGATGACAGAGTGATTTCTAGGACTGGGAGTGGAAATCATTAGGGGCACAGATAGCTTCCTAGGCAATGGAATGTTTCATATGTGGATCCAGCTACATGAGAAACTTGGAACCCATCGTCTTGACTGGAAGCTGCCCTAGTTAAGTATCTCGTGGCTTTGAGTAGTTGCTGCCTGAATTTTCTGCTTTTTGTTTTTGTGTTGGAGGCCACGAACTGCCTACATCTGAAACAGACAGTATCTCAGGTCATGACTAGAACTATGAGACTTAGGAGCTTCCAGTGTGCTCAAATGTTGAATAGAACACAGCTGGAGAAAGTCCCCTCTAGCCCCTCAACTAATCATTGCGGAGTCACATCTGGAGTGATACCCGCCTGTGAAAGCTGATGTGAACCTCACCTGTCAATAGCGATGGCCAACAGAGCATTGGTGGAGACGTAAAGGGAGACTGTGCGAAGGTAGTTGACAGAGGCACAAAGCACGTGACCATGCTCCCAGGAAAGCTGACGTACCACATAATAGTCCATCTCAAAGGGGCAGCAGACGATTGCCACCAGAAAGTCGGAGACGGCCAAGTTAGCAATGAGGAGGTTGGTAAGGTTGCGTAGCTTCTTGTAGCGGGCGAGGGCAGCAATAAAGACAAAATTGCCAATGCCACAGACTAGCATGATGCCTGCCAGCGCCACACCAATGACAATCTTGGCTGCAAAGAAGGTCTGTGTCTTGGTCATGTCCTCATCCTCATCCAGGGGGAGGTCGTAATCACCATAACTGAAGTTGAAGGGGAGCGAGGCGACATGGTCTTGAGGTGGATTCAAGTTGGATGCAAAGCTGGTGTTTCTGTTCTGGGCCGCCATATTGATGCCTGCAGGAGGGATGATATCAGGGAGGTGTGTCCAAGTGGAGTCCAGCACCTCCAATGGGGGTCAGTGAGTGCAGTTCTCTCCTGGAATCCTTGGGAAGAATTAATACATGCATGATCTTGGGGTGAGGGAAATACAACAAATGGACAGCAAACATCAGATCTGACAGTTACCCTCAGAGTTCCCTAGGTACAGTCCAACCAGACCCACGCAGGGGTAAGGAGATGGGAGGCCCTATGCCTGCTGGCCACAGAATGAACCGGACTCTCCATAGAAACCCAAGGGGAATGGCATCCTGCCCTTCTCCCAGCAGACAGTACTGGCTTGACTGTTGTTACTCTCAACCTTACCAGACAATGGCACAAGGCAGGGGGTGGGGAGGAATCTGTTGGTGGGTGGGAGTGGCTTTCCTGCTGCTTGCCTGTTCTTTGCTTAGGGGTTCTAGAAGCCGGCCTCTTAAACAGTGCTTGTATGACAGCCTTTTAAGATGTGGGGGTTGCAAAAAGTTGGGCGACAGTCAATGGTTTCTGAATGACGGAAAAATCAGTTCAAAAACCAAACTCAAACGTGCCATGAATCTAAGCTGTTTCTGGCGTCCCTCATCCACGTTGCATCAGGAGACTGCGCTGCAGCCTTGTTTCCAAACACGCATGGGCACTTTGCCCTGAGTGCCGTCTGGCTTTGCAGTGCCAGGGAGCGGGGCCCGAAACACCTTGCCTCAGACCCACACTGTGCTATGAACTGTACTTGTACAACTATTGTGCACCAAAGCTCTCTGATCTCGTAGAAACGTAATGGTTTAATTATGGAAAACAAAGACTTAAGAGTGTCATCATTCCCTACTGTGTCTGTATCAAATTGGTCCATCTTTTTTGGTTGTTTGCTTTATTTTCGAGGCTGGGTCATGACACTTAGGTTGACCTTAAACTCCTGATCCTTTTGCCTCAGTCTCCCAAGCAGTGAGATACACACTGTTGCACCCAGCTACTGACTAGCACATCCTTGGATTTATTGTGCTAAAACATTTTTGATTTAAAAATTTCTATATGAAGGGCTGAGAGACGGCTGAGTCAGTCACGGGTGCTTGATGCTCTTGCAGAGGGCTCTCTCGAACAAGACCAGAGTTCAGAGTTCAGTTCTCAGCACTAACACTGGGATGCTTAAAACTGTAATTCTAGCTGTCTTTTCTGATACCCTTTTCTGGCCTCAGATGGTATGCATCATGCTTACATGCATGTGTACACACACACACACACACACACACACACACACACACACACACAGAAGTATAATAAAAATTTAAAAATTGCTATTTGACAAGCTGACTTGACTTTCATAAAAAAAAAAAATCATTAAGTGAAATCTGGCTTGGAATTAGGACAGAATTTCCAACAGTTTTCTCAAATGGCCCTGAAACACTTCTTCATTTGTACCACAAGTTTATATGAACTGACATTCTCAGCACTGATGATTATAAAATCAAAATGTCAGTCAACTCTGAAAAATGTTGAAGATGCTGTATCAAATATTTAGCCAAGATTTAATGCTTCATGTAAAAATAAGCAATCCATCTCATTAGTATGCAAATTTGCTTTCCTCATTAATAAATGGTAAAATTATATGCATATCAAAGAATTGTTTTAAAATACATTAATGATTTATTATCAGTAAATGTTTGATTTATATGCCTACTTTATACACTTATGAACCCAGGGACAAGTAAGAAATTCTTAGGTGATTGAGGTCTTCCTGAGTGGAAAAAAAACCTGCTCTGGAATAAATCATTTCTCCCCAGGTTGACCCTGCTGCTCTGGATCTGCTCCTGGACCTCTTCCCTAGGCTCCCAGGTTTTCATCCTCAGCCAACCTTTACTAAAGAGGGACTGTGTCTTGTCATCTGAAGTGGTGGTTGTTCTGAGAGCAGACTGAACTGAAAACAGCCTCCTAAGAGTGGGTGGGGATGACCAGGGACTCTAGGTGCTGTCCTTCCTTGCTTTAGAACTCCTTTATATTATTCTTGGTGTCTTGAGATGTCCACAGAGGGAGAGGGAACACAATCTCTAAAATGCTTGCCCCCAGGACGGGACTGCTACAGGGAAAGGAGTCCCTGAGTGGCTGGGGAGAGTTCCCTAACCTAACTTGGTCTGTTTCATCATCCACAAAACACCTTCCTCTCACACCTCCCGGTGGGAGCTGCGAGTAAGAAGAGCAAGAAGCTATCAAACTGGATAGTGAGGTCTGTCCAGCCTTGTGAGGGCAGGGAGAGCATTGGGGGACAGGAATCATCATTTCGGCCAGGAACAGCACTCACAGGGGCGTTAATGAAACCCCAACTTGCTACACATGGATCAGCTGCGCCCTCCACCCCACTTGACAGTTGGGGTTCCAGCGGAGTGTGCACCCCAGTGTCCTCCTTCTGAGTTGTCTATTGATCTCCCACAGACTACCACCGGGGACAGATAAGTGAGAGTTCTGACTGGCTTCTCAGCACCAGCCCGCCCACGGGTCCCTTGTTTCCCACTCGCCTCGGAAAGGAGAGGCGCGGCACTGCCCCGGGGTTAGGAAATCAGTTGGAAATTCAAGCCCAAAATGCAAAGCCGGTCATCAGGGGTGTCTGCGGGGCGTGGCAGCAGCCGGGACACCTCTGCCCTTCTCGGCTCTCCTTCTGTCCGTGTCCCCGGTTCCCGAGCTATGCCCTAGTCCCCAACCCCAAGGTCCCAAGGCCGGAGGGGGTTTCCTGGAAGCCACGCTCAGTACCCGGAGTTCGCCCACCACTACCCCGCACTCACCTGCCTCGGTGCCTCCAGGGGCGCACCCCCAGGCCTGCGTTGGCGCGGTAGGTGGGCGCGGCCCAGGCTCTGGGGACACTGGCTAGCTTTGGCCAAGGCGCGTGTATTTGGTGGGCGTGTGTCGCTCTGTCCTGCTTTCCTCAGTGCGCTTCTGCGCATCTGTCTCTCCAGAGTTGCAGCTTCTCCCTGCAGCTCATCCCACAGCCTGGGACCCAGCCCTGGTGGCCCGCCCCTCCGGGCGCCCGACTCCGCCCCGGAGACCCCGCCTGCCTCCCAGCTCGGCTAAAAGGGGGTCTCAGACTACTGGGCGGTCCCTCAATAGGCTTTCTAAGCTCTTGAACCCAGTGGGACCCACGCAGCCGGCCATCCACAGCATCTCAGAGACTGAGCAGTGTCCTCTGCAAACAGCTGTTGGTCCCACCAGCGTGCAGAGTCGGAGTGTGTGTGTGTGTGTGTGTGTGTGTGTGTGTGTGTGTGTGTGTGTGTTTGTGCGCGCGCGCGTGTGTTCTTCCCAGCGCCAGCATTCTTGCCCTCTGCAAGCCAGGGGTGAAGCCTTGTCTTCTCTCAGAGGTGGTGCAGGGGAGGCCCCCATACTGGAATGCAGACCTTAAGAGGTGGAGCTGGAAATGGTGGTGGCGGTGGATTGGCTTACCCTGCACAAAGCTTCAATTCTGAGGTCCCCTTCCAAACTCTGAGATGACCTTTCCTGTAACATTCCTTGGCTATTCAAAGACAACCCCAGTCCATCTTCCAGCGTATTTGTGGAGTATCCCGGACCTCTGCTTTGTTTCCAGAGGAGTTATTTTATTTCCCCCAGAAACGGAGGGCTTTATAAATTACCCCGTTAAAGCAGGAACTGTGTGTTGGCCATGGAGAGCATTTTCTTGATGGGGCACGACCAATTGGAAAAGTTATTTGGGGTTGGGCATTCTGTGGTTCTGCCTGTCCTAACTTATGTGAAACTAACCCACTGTCCTGATCTCCTATTCTTCCTTCCCCCCTTTCGGGACAGGAGGCCCGGCTTTCTGCCTTCCTCATAGGGAGAGGCTGTGGTTTGGCTGGCACTGTGGCTAGTCAAGACAATTTCCAGACCAGAGGAAGGTCCTTGTCGTTTTGTTTTGTTTTTGTACAAGGAGTGGACTGATGCTGTGGCCAGATACCTGAACATACTCTTTAGGTCATTCTTTCAAAGGGCTTGTTCATACTCAATTTCAGCTAAACACTTCACCCCCTCCTGGGTCATGTCCATCAGCTTACCCCCTCAACAGGACAAACAGACTCTTGGGACCCTCTGGTATGCTCACAACATCCCCCAAGGCAGGGTCGCATTCACACAGATTAGGAAACCCATAGTTGTCAACCTAGCAACTTGATTCTCAGCAGAATGTATTCGTCAGGGGACCAGTATGCAGTCCCCAAAGAGACAAAGAGGCCAGTGCTTCAGAATGTTGAGGTAGCTGTCTTAATTCAGGCTCCTCAAAAGCACCCTCCAACAAATTTGAGTGTAGGCAGCCTATGGAAAGTAAGAGCCGGGGACACAGGAAGTGATGTGGGATGAGGGAGAAGCCAAGACATTCTGTGTTAATGAGCACGGGATGCTGTGGCCACTGGGGGCTCACCACACCTGCAAAAGCATGGAGAGCCTGCCTCATGGTTGTCCATGGCAGCACAGGGCAGCAAGAACATGCAACCATTGCCCCAAACCCCAGCTCTAATGGACCGTTTCCCTTTCTTTTTTTGGACCGTTTTCTTGAGAGTGAGCATTGCCCTTCCATGTGAGCCACGCAACTCCTTATGTGATGGAGAAAGCCTAAGGCTGAAAAGGAGAGAGCCTCAAGATTTGAGTGGGAGGTGTCAGCTGCCGAGGGTCACACCACGGGTGAGACCTGGTGCGCAGGGGATTATGGGGCTGGTCGTGCGGGTGCCCAGCTACAAACGGCGCCAAAGGAGCATTCCCCTGGACGAGGAGCTTACCGGTGGCATTCACACTGAGATGGGGTGAAGCCAGGGAAGCCTGGGTAAGTAGGGAGCTGAAGGGTTGGAGATTTATCAGAATACAGTTGGAGACAACTTTGCGTCCTGACTTTGTCTCCTAAGCTTGCAAGCCTGGAAGTGGAGATTCCTTAGTCAGAGAAGATGCTAATCATTAACGACCCCCTCTAGTCAGAGCAGTTTCTCAAACTGTCAGTTAAAATCTTCTGAACGCTATAACATGATTCTAAGGGAAAGCAGGGGGGGGGCGGGCAAAGGGGGAAGTCAAACACTGTGCAGGCTGGCGTCGGCACACATCCTTGAGTAGTGGTCTCAGTGGCTGACATGGGTGTGGAGGAAATGGGTAGATGAGGAAAGGAGTCTGAATTTGGGGCCAGGAGGTTATATATTTGGATCTACTTGAGAGACATAAATAATAAAAATTCAACAGTTGTAACATTTTGAAAATATTATATCTGGATTGATTCCCATTAGTCAGTTTTCTTTACTGCAACAGAATACCTGAGCCTGTGTACTCTATAAAGAAAAGAGTGTTCATTTAGAATACAGATTTGGAGGTTCAGGGCCGTGATGCCAGCATCAGCTCTTGGCACATGTTTTCATGTCATGATGGGAGCTCTTGTATGAGAGAAACAGAGGACCAAATTTCAAACACAAGAAATCCTAGAAGATGAACTATAGCCCCCCCTCCCCCATCACAAAGGATGTTCCCTGAGAGGCACTCCAGTATTATTCAGGAAACTGGAGTGGGTTAATGTGGCCTCAGAATAACATTTCTTGAAGATTCTTGAAGTGCGAAAGGGAAGCACTGAATTGTTGGGTGAGCCTAAGATTCCCAGATGGAAATCCATTTAGCCACTCCTTTCTATCACCCCAGTACTTGAATATTGGTTGGCATATGCATAGGAGAAAAAGCATCGGGCTTGTCTTAGCTTCGTTCTGTTGCTGTGGCAAAACACTCTGGCCAAAAGTAAACTGGGGAGGAAAGGGTTCATTTGGCTTACATTTCCTGGTTACAATTTACTATCGAGAGGAGGTAGCGCAGGAACTCAGGCAGAAGCTTGAAGCAGAAACCATGGAGGAACACGGCTCACTAGCTCATTCACAGACTTACGCTCAGCTAGCTTTCTCCTGCAGCCTAGGCCCCCCTTCCTAGGAATGGTTCCGCCTACAGTGGCCTGGGTCCTCCCGCATCAGTCATCAGTTAGGACAGCTGCTCAGAGACATGGCCATAGGCCAATATGATGGAGGCAGTTCTTGGTTATGTAGTTAGTTCTTGGTTACGTAGGTGACAGGCTGGGGCTCTTGAGTCCACCAGCTCTCCAGATAGCCTCTTTTAAGTCGCTTTTCTTCTTGAAAGTGATTCTTTTCTGGAACAAGGTTTCCCAGCACCACATCCCCTGGAAACAATGGATGGCAGAGGCGAAGACTCCACTGCGGGGTTGCTGGTTATAAGGAACGGGAACACACAGCTGCCCTGGAGCTTGATTGTGCTACCAATGTCCTTAGGAAGTGCGTGCTGCCGGATAGGTTCTCAGTCAACAGTAAACTCACACAATTCAAAAATTAAAGCACATAAAATGATACCTGGTAAAGTAGCACTCTTACCCCTCCCCATCCACCTTGTGCACCCCCATTCTTCTTGGGGGTTCCCTTACATTCTTCTAAAGTTTTGCTTTGCAAATACAATACCATGCTCTTATTTATTCTCCATGGCCCGACATGTCCATATCCAATATACAGTTGATATCTTCAGCCTTCTTCTGTAACATAGTCTATTGTGGGGACATGCTGTTGCTGCTTTTTAAAACCCACATTGCTGGAAACGTTGTAACAGTTTCAAAATGTCTGTAAAACTACAAATTATTTACTATTTTTGGTTCCTGTCCTGTTGTGGTGCAGAATGACGTACATATTACAGTTCATCAGTGAACAAGTACACAGAGCATCTTCTGGTACATGTGCAGGTATATTTGTATGACAAATTCCTAGAAGTGGTATTGCTGAGTCAAAGCACAAAATGCATTTGCACAAGGTTTTGTGGTAGATCCTGTCACAGAAAGCTCCAAAGGCCTCTATTAAGCAGTCCGTTCGGGTAGAGGTCAAGGCCCCCACACTCAATTGATGAACACATGTCTGTCAAGCTGGAAGAAACAACAGTCCAGAACAAGATTTCTCAGCAATGCTTCCTGCCCTCAGTCCCAAAGACACGGTGTCCCTTTAGTCTTTCAAAGTACAGGAGAAAGGGGGCTCTGTCCTTTTATTTTTTTTATTTTTTTACTCTGGTCTTTAAAAAAAATCCTTCCAGTCATTTTTCTATGTCTGTGTATCTCTTGTGGAATAGTCAGAAATCAAGTTAAGACCATGCTGTTGTTACTGACCATCGACACATTGGTAGGTAAACTCTGTAAGGCTGTTGAAATTAAATGTAACTCAGCTTCATAAATTACTGTAGTTGGAAAGCGGGGGACTCTTCACTGGAGGTGCAAGGCGCTCTAGCTTCTTCCACCTTTCACACACCCCACCTGCTTATCCAGGCTTCTGGAGAATGGCTGGGTAAGACACTGGTGGGCTGGCTTGATTAGGTAGATCTCTGGCTGCCTCTCTGGCTTCATCTGCCTCGAAGGCAATACCAGGTGTCAGTGGGGAGAATGAAGAGTGTCAGATTTTATGGCCACTAGCCCTGCTTCCTGTCTGTGGACAAAAGCCCTGGAGACATTTTGATCAGTTTGGGATTGTCATTAAATGGACCCTTGAAGGATGGAGCTTATCACCAGACTCAAAGCTGAGTTCTAGCTGGGTATGGGCATGCTCACCTGTAATCCCAGCACTCCGGGAGGTTAAGGTCAGAGGGTCAGGAGTTCAAGCCCAGCCTGGGACCCATAGTGAGAGCCTGTTTAAAAGAACCAAGGATTAGGCATGTGGTTCAGTGCTAGAGCACTTTCCTAGTATATACAAGGCTCTGGGTTTGGTGTACAGCACACACACACACACACACACACACACACACACACACACACACACACACACACACTGACTCTGTAACAGAGTTTAGTTAATGCAATCTCCTTTGTGGTAAGGGGTACAGACCTTTTTTGCTGGAAGGGTGGGAGGTTGAGAGTGTTCTAGCTATTGAAGAACATCAATGGCTTCCCAGTACTGCTAGCTGAGTTTGGGAACTGAGTTTGGGAAAGATTTGTTTTTTATAGAGAAGCACTTCCGTTTCGATGGCTTTGCACCTCTGTATCTCCGGCTTTCTCCTCCAGGTGAAGACCTGGTGTTTATGTTGCCCTTCTGGGAGCTCAGGAAAGGATGTAGACATGCCACATGCTACTTGAATCCTGGGGCAGTGCACATGTGTGAGGAAAAAGTCAAATAATGTAGCTAGGTGGAAAAGCTGACCTCTTTCTCTGCCCCTGAGTGGTGACCCTTT